GGAGGTCTGCCTGGGAATGGATGATGAGCCGACTGAGAGCTTATGGGTCAGGATTAGTGGGCAGACCAACATGGGTAACATTGTAGTGGGTGTCTGCTATAGACCTCCTGACCAGGAAGAAGTAGATGAGGTCTTCTTCAAACAGCTGGAAAAGGCTTCATGTTCACAGGCCCTGACCCTCATGGGCGACTTTAACCACCCTGATATCTGCTGGAAGGACAATACAGCAGTGCTCAAGCAATCTACAAGATTTCTCAAGTGCATTGATGACATCTTCAGGCACAAGTAATCAAGGAATCAGCAAGGAAATGTGCTGATTCCACGTACTTGCAAACAAGGAAGAACTGATCAGGGACATGAAAGTCAGAAGCAGCATTGGCTGCAGTGTCCATAAGATGGTGGAGTTCAGGATCCTTCCAGAAGGAAGCAAAGCAAAAAACAAGATCACAGCCCTGGATTTCAGGAAAGCAGATTTACAACTTCTTCAGAGACCTGCTTGGAAGAATCCCATGGAATATGACCCTGGAGAGAAGAGGGGTCAAGGACAGCTGGCTGATATTCAGGGGTCACCTCCTCCAAGCTCTGAAAAGGTCTGTCCCGACAAACAGAAAACGAAGCAAAGTAGCAGGAGGCCTGCATGGATGAGCACAGAGCTCTTAACTGAACTCGAACATAAAAACAAAGTGTGGAATGAAGGGGTGGAAGCAGGGGCAGGTGACCCAGGTGGAATAGAGTTGCTGTCTGATCATGCAGGAATGGGGTTAGGAAAGCCAAGGCTGAGCTGGAGTTGAATCTGGCAAGGGATTCAAGAAAGGATTCCACAAGTACATAAATAGCAAAAGAAAGAGTAGGGAATATGTGAACCTGCTGCTGAATGGGGCAGGGCAACTGGTGACAAATGGCATGGATAAGACTGAGGTACTTAACGCCTTCTTTGCCTCACTTTTTATGATTCAAACTGGCCTTCAAGAATCCCAAGTCCCTGAGACCAGAGGGAAAGTCTGGAGCAAGGAAGACTTATCGTCAGTGGAGGAGGACCAAATTAGGGAGCACTCTCAAAAACTGGACCTACATAAGGCCACAGGGACAGATGAGATGCACCACCCACCAGTACTGAGGAGGCTGGCTGATATTGTGAGGCCACTGTCAATTATCTTTACACAGTCATGGTGACTTGGAGAGGTTCCTGAAGACTGGAAGAGAGCAAATATCACCCCTGTCTTCAAGAAGGGCAAGAAGAAAGATCCAGGGAACTATAGGCTGGTCAACCTCACCTCAATCCCTGAGAAGGTGATAGAGAAAATCCTTCTGGAAAGCATTTCCAAAAATCTGAAGGGGAAGTCATGCTTGACTAACCTGATAGCCTTCTACAATGAGGTGACTAGCTTGGTGGTCAAGAGGAGAGCAGTGGATGTTGTTTACCTTGACTTCAGGAAAGCCTTTGATACTGTCTCCTGCAACACCATCACAGACAAGCTGACAAAGTACAAGTTAGATGAGTGAATAGTGAGGTGGACTGAAAACTGGCCAAACGACTAGGTCCAGAGGGTTGTGATCAGTGGCATAAAGTCCAATTGGAAGCAAGTCATGAGTGGTGTACCCCAGGGGTCAACATGGGGGCCAATACTGTTCAACATCTTCATTAATGACCTGGACAATGGGACAGAATGTGCCCTCAGCAAATTTGCAGATGATAAAAAACTGGGATCAGTGGCCAATGCACCACACGATTTTGCTGCCTTACAGATAGACGTCAACAGGCTGTAGAAAAGGGCAGAGAGGAATCTCATGAAGTTCAACAAGGGGAAATGCAAAGTCCTGCATCTGGGGAGGAATAACACCAGGCAGCAGTACATGCTGGGGGCCGGTAGGGAAGGGAAGAAGAAGAAACCTGTTTGGTTCCTCTACTTGGTTCACAGGACCATCAGGGACTAATAATGAGGGAAAAGGAACAAATACATGACTCGCTCGGTCACAGAGAATGGCTGCTTGCCTCATAAAATGGTGTTAGTTATGCTAACCACATTACCAGGGGTTGGGAGCAGGGGGTACCAGTCACAGGGTCGAGGGAGGTGATCCTTCCCCTCTACTCAGCACAAGTGAGGCCACATCTGGAGTGCTGGGTCCCGTTCTGGGCTCCCCAGTACAAGAGAGACATGGACTTACTGGAGACAGTCCAGTGAAGGGCCACAAAGATGATGAAGGGACTGGAGCATCTTGTATATGAGGAAAACCTGAGAGAGCTGGGACTGTTTAGCCTGGAGAAGAGAAGGCTCAAGGGAGTTCTTATCAAGGTGTTGTAACCATCGTTCCCATACCTGATAGGAGTGAAAGAAGAGGGAGCCAGGATCTTCGCAGTAGTGCCCACTGACAGGACAAGAGGCAATGGGCACAAATTAAAACACATGAAATTGAATCTTAACACAGGAAAACACTTTTTATTGCTGTGAGGGTGGTCAAACACTGGAGCAGGTTGCCCAGATATGTTGTGGAGTCTCCATCCTTGGATATATGCAAAAGGTGTCTGGACATGGTCCTGGGCAAGTGGCTCCAGGTGGCCCTTCTTGAGCAGGGGCATTGGACCAGATGACCTCCAGAGGTCCCTTCCAACCTCAACCATTCTGTGATTCTGTAAAGTCACGCTATGACTTGTCCTCTTCATATCTACGTTGTTTCTAACATTGTTATTACTCTTTTTAGCTTTGTTTCCCGGGGCCTTTAACTGTTGCACAAAAGTTTCAGATGAAATTCCCAAAGGAATTCTCAGAAGAGTGGAGAGGTTTGAAATCCAGAAAGCGGATGGCCTGTGTCACCTAGAAGCTGTTATGTAAGAGAAGTTTTGGGTCCTTCACTGTGAAAGGGGTACTGTCAAGTTAAAACCTATTAGGCGCCATTTAAACAAGTAGAATCTTAGAATGCTAACACAAATTAAATGAAAAACAAGATTGTGTGTGATTTAAAAACTGTCCTTCCTTGTGCTATTTGAACTTCTGATTGCTAAAATTGAATTTGCTTTTCAGTAATAATATTGATCATTATTCAGCCTGCACTAACTTTAACACTTGCTTTATTTGCAGAACTGAAGAATGATTCATGCACCTTAAGACTTCTCTGTTTTTTTCCGACTATTGATCCTCTACAAACCTTGCCTAAACTCATTAAATCAGCTTTACTTTTGTACATAAGCTATTTCTAATTTTTTTTTTTCTGGTACAATATCACACTGGTTGGATTAAATTGATAAATTTTAAAGAAATCCTGGACATTTTTTATTTCTAGACATTTGCATGATGATTGTGACAATAATAATAATAATAATAATAATAATAATAATAATAATAATAATAAAGTGGTCTACTTATTCATTGGCCATAGAAATGTACTGTTTTGCACTGTGGTTCTTTTCAGACCCGCTGAAGTAGTAAAGCTTTTTTCAGATTTTGGAAGACAAGTGTAATCATGTAAACCTTAGATCCTAACTTTTACATATTTGAAACTAGACAAAGGTGAATAGACATAGTACAAAATATAACTTAAGATTAACCAATTATAACTTTGTGGTCTTCGTATGTGAGTGATAAGTATGAAGTTGGGGTTTTCTACATTTTTTCTTTGAAACTGACAACTAATTTTTGCTCTGGCAGTCTCTACATAAAAGGCAGAAAGTTCTGTGTGAGCCCACGGATTAGAAAAGTTAAAAAATGGATGAAGAAGAATAAGCACAAGATTCCCAGAAAAAAAACTCATGGTAGAAAGCAGAGAAGAACCAAAATTATTAAAAAGAAAGAAAAGAAGCAGTAACATGATGAAGCAAGCCCCATGATGAAGATACCTGTGGCATACGGCACTGCGAACAAAGATACAAGACTTCATGAGAGATGGATGACTGTAGCATTAAAATGACTTTTCAAATATCTATGTGCTAGAGAAAGCAGTGGCAGAACACATCACCTGTACTCAAGAACGATGCTGGTCAGATTACCAGCCAAATATCAAGGTGTTCCTGACAATGTCTTGTAGCAAGTGCTCGCTGTACCTCCTAGATCTATTGATAGACTTAAATCCTCCTCTCTCCCACCCTGCTTTCATGGCAACCTCCCCTGTGATTTCTATTTTAACATGCCAGTATGCAGTTCCTTCTCATCGCTCCATTTTCCCAGTCCAATTCTTGGTCCTTATTATTCCTTGTCTGCGATCATCTTTGTGCTGTTGCCTATTTTGTTTCTATTCTTCCAGTCATTAATCTTTTTTTTTTTTCTTACATAATTTTACAGATACCTTTCCAGATACTAGTTCAATTTCAGTTGGCCAAACCCATGTATCTTTTACCTATTCCAAACAATCTCTGCTCCCAGCTGTTATTATCATGAAATATCATTTCAGTGATAATAACTGAGCCTGTTCATCAGGCTCAAAGTGTGGCATCTGAAGCTATGCAATGAAGATAATCTCTATTGCTTTTGTTCATTCCATTCCCTGTTCAAGTCCTTAAGCTGGGTCCTTCCTACCCTCTTTGCTGAATTTCTCCTAATTAGCATTGAGGATTGCACGTGTCCATCAAGGCCTTTCTTTGAAGACTAATGATGACACCAGACTGGCTACCCACTCCATAGCCTCCCTCCCACTGCACGGCACTGCCTTCTCCTGTGTGGCACAGTCTCCAATTCCCTCCCTCCTTCCTTGGAAACTTCAAACTAATTTAATATTTCCACAAAGCCATCTCAGTCAAAGGCACTTGTCCTCAGAGAGTCATACGTGGAAAGCAGCAAATGAGGGAAAAGAGGGGTCTTAAAAAGAGTAAGTGCCATGGAATGCATACTTAAAATATTTACCTAGTGAGCCAAAAATAATGTAGCAGCATAATTCTCTTCTTCCTCCCCTTCCCCTACTAATTACTGTTTGTTTTCATTCACTGCATTTGAGTTAAATTAGCTCCTCAGAGTTGTCTCTTGTATTTGTTTTGTAATTGTTATGTCTAACTACACACTGCGAACATGGGAGAAAGCACGGCAGATGACAGTAGATCAGCAGCACTGAAGCAGCTGCTGATAGGTTCCCTAAATAAAATAAAGATGAACACCTGTATCAAGGTCACTAGAGAATAGGTAGCATACTCCCACAGATGCATATCTGATGAAAGAAACTGACTCCTTCCAAAACAGGTAAGAGAAAACAAGAAACAGACTTATCTTCTCTGATGAGCCAACAGCCTCCTAACAGGGATGAGGCAACTCATCTAACTCTTCTTCCAGTTTCTAGGGAATGTTGTAGATATTGTACACGTACATTGGCATAGCTCCATCCTCTGCCTGCTGAAATGACACGCAGGAAGCCTTCTGCTAGGAGCAGGAGCTGGGATTGCTCTCTCTGACTCTGAACAGGCACAGAAGCTCTTCCTCCCGAATGCCATGTTCGGCATGCTGGGGAGGCAGAGGATGTGACCCCAGCTGAGGCAAACTGAAATGGCACACGTTTTCCACCATTTCATTTGCACTCCAATGCTGCACTGCCTGGACACCGCACGGATATAGCGAATGGCTATTAGACAGAATCCAATCCTCCCGGGCCCAGGTCAGCAGAGCACCAGGAACGCTAAACTGCTGAAATATATTACACTACAGTGTCAGTATCTTACTGTTTCTGGCAGTTCTATTTATTTTCTTCCTCATGTTCTGCTCTGGATTCAAGATTTTACCTTCACGCTTCCCTCTTGAGTCACAGATTTTCAGGTGGGTTTGTGATGGCATCTCAGCTCCTCATAGCTTCTCCATCAATGCAACCAGTGGCCTTTTGAGTGTATAGAGTGTACCCTAAGTATTGACTAAAGTACAGAGTGTACCCTGATTTCCATGCCTGTTCTATCAGAGACATTCAGCATTTCACAGGATTAGAGTATGCAACTAACTTTCCAGGCTGATGCAGGCATGTCTGAGGCCCCAGTGACCCACCTGACTGTTTCACTTACAGAGTCATTAAATATTGCCACTTGGTCAAGGCAAGTCAGGGAAGTCTGGGAGATTGGAGAAAGAAGGGACCAAAGTCAAGCTGACAGTATGGATGAGAAAAAGTGAAACTGTGGCTCTAGATGAGACTGCAGCAGCGCTGCCATCAAGAGTGGGAACTCCTGGATACTCAGTCTGTTATGG